TATATATATATATATATATATTCATACGTATATATACGTACGTGTATAGAGAGAAAAGAGAGTAAAAACGAGCCGCGTCCGCCTCGAAAAATGAACGTTTTTTCACGACGAAAGGAAAATCGTGACGGACGAGCTCTCGATATAACGGGTGTGTGTCAAGAGTTTTTCGAAAAGAGTGTAGCGATTTTTTTTTTTTCCGTTTATCTTACAGCCTAGCTCGAGAATGGAAGATTATAGCGTGGGAAAAATTGGAGAAATAGAAAAAGAAAAAAAAAAGAAAAGAAAAGAAAAGAAAAGAAAGAAAGAAAGGAGGGATCGGAGGGAAAGAAATAGATTTTAGATTGGAAAACGCGCACGCAAAGGTTGAACTTGTACAATTCGTCTCAACATTCACACGGTTGCTAATTCTAAAAAATACGTGTCCGCCCATCGAAAAAATGCTCGTCCTCGAATAATCTTTTTTTTTTCTTCTTCTTCTTCTTAAGTACATACCCTACACGATTAAAACCTTAGAACCTTAACGTTTTTTTTTTTTCTTTAAATCTTAGATCGAACTCTACACTACTATGTACAACAACACGGTTTTTTTGAGGTCTTTTACTGTTTGTGCCTGCCTATTTTTTTTTTTTTCCTCCTATCTCGTTCATCTTTTTCTTTTTCTTCGATGTACACCCTTTCTTATCGAGGGAACATCGAAATTTTCTTCCTCCTCTTCTTCTTCTTCTTCTTCTCTTTCGTTTCGTTTTAATCGCTAAATGTGAAAAGGCTTCGGGCTACTTTCAAGGTACGCGAATTCTCGAGGTTACACGCTAATATTTACACGCTTACGAGTGCTAACAGTGTGCTCGCCGTCGAGTCACTCCCCTCGACGGTCGCCATTTTCATTTTTTTTTTCTTTTTTACAGATATTACACGCACGTGACGAACTATTTTTCATTTCGAAAATTGCATTTTTCCCTGCCCTGCCATTCTTGCTACGGAATTCAAGACTATCGGAGACGTTGGACGAATTTTTCGAATTATTTATTCCAGCGAATCAATCTATAAAACGTCTGTTCTCATTATTTTGAACACCTGAATACCTTATATAGCTAAGTAAGTAGTTCAGATTCAATTTATAGTATTGTTTATCTGTAAATATTTACTGCCAATACATAAATTTTTCCATTTACTTTTTTGCATTCGCTCATATTAATTACACTCGATTATCAATAAATTTTGCATCCATAAGTGAATGAAATAATTTTCAACGAACACAAAAAGACGTTCATCGTCTAATAAAATTGCACGTTTCCTTCAAATCACGAAGAATGTAATGTAATTTCTTTTAAAATTAGATTATACAATTAAGTCCCTAATAATGGGACACTTATAATGAAAGAAAAGATGCTTGCTTCATCTCGTAAATTCTAATAAAGGGAAATGGAAAAGTTTAAAGTTCTAACTATCTAAAAAAAATTCCTCCAACGTCTTAAAAATCTAGAACGAGACCGGAATTGAACAACGCGAACAAAGCGATGGGGTCGATGGCGATTTCTTTAATTTAACAATGGTATATTGGCAGTGCTGATGCGAAAACTGTAACTCCAGGGAAGAACTACGATCGGTAGAATCCTCTTTAGAATGAGATACGCTGTAAATGTGGCATGTGCGAATGATTTTTACCTTCTATTCTGCATTAGAACAAACGTGCGTCTGGAAAACTGGTTTCTCTTCTCTACAAAATGGGTTCGCCTCGTTCCATTCTTGCGTTTCGCTTTCTTTTTTTTTTTTTTTATCTTCGTCAATCTTCGAGTTTCTTCTTGGAATATTTCGATAATGGGACGAAATTCATTTCGAGATGAAAATCCTTTTTTCTTAAAAATAATTTTCAAGTGAAATCGAAACTTTCCTTAAATGTAATTCTTTAAGTATTCAAAAATTGAATATCGTTCCTTTAAAAAGTGTACCTTTAACTTATTCTTTTTTCCAAACGTGCAGAGTCACAAACGAATC